CACTGGAAAATTACAGGGTTTTGGAAACCCAGCACACCATGCCCAAAAATGGCAGCCCCAAAAGCCTTCGGCTTTTTAAGAGATCCGAAGGAAGACCAAGTTGCGGACTGCCATCTACACGCTCGACTGGCGTCGGCGGATTTTAAACAACGCCATACTGGACATATGTCGATTGCTTGGGGCCGTGTGTTTGTTCCTAGATGCGGCATTGTTCGATGTTCCCTTCAGCAAACCACCAATCAAAAGAGAGCCCCCTCATCCTTCCGCTTTGCAATTCTCACGTTCGCGCCATGTGGCAAGCACGAGCCACATTGCCATTTCACAACAGAACATCGCGCGCGGTTGCGGAAGCTGCATGAGCCTGCAGCCTACCATGGCGCTTTCCCCTCTTGAGGCAAGTAATTTAGCAACGACCCGAGGCGAAGTTCCTGGACTCGTTTGAGTACACGGGTGCCTTGGGTGCAGTCGCCTAATAGGAATTGCCAACCTTGGCGCCAGTTTGCACGAGGCGTCCAAAGAATAGGCCCCAAGCAACCTCAGGCAGACTAATGCCATGCTGCTGTGATGAACCTTGATCCCTTGCTCAAGGACTGTTGTCATGTGGGTTTTTTTCCCCTGAAAGCTCCCAATTATATACCCCCGTATGCTGGTATGTTCAGCAAAAGGCTAGGCTTAAAAGGCTAGGCTTTTTCAGGACATGTAACAGCAGGGTTGCGACATCGGCGCTTGACCTGTACACCCGGGTACAATGGACCATCATGCGTGCTGTGCTCACAAAGCTACTGTAAGCTTATGACTTATAACCATGAGGGCCCTGAGGGCAAATCGGGGCACCCCAGCTTCCACTTTGGGCGATCGCGCAACCAACCATCCTTGTGCTGTGTTTTGTCAGTGCAAGATGCATTGACGGTGCTTCCTGCAGCATAGTTGCCTCGCTGCACATCCCGTTGTTTCTGTGTCGACCTCGACAATATGCTGTGCATACATGGAACCATGGGCACAGATTTGGCGGAAAAATGTGGCTAACAAAGGGACCTATTTTGCCCATGAAGTTCAGGGCGGCAGATGCCCAGCATGGCAAATGAGCGCATGTTTTCGGCTTTCACTTCGAGGCCTTTTCCAAATGGACTACCGGCTTCTGGGAAGTTGTGCACTTTGAGGTCGAGTTTCCAGAGGGCATCTGTTTGGTTGATGGTTTGCTAGTTGCACGCGTTCTGATTCGTTCCCACGGTGTTTCTGAGGATCGGTGGAGACTCTATGGAACGCTCTCGACACCAGCCGCGGTGGCTTCATCACGGCACCTCGGATCGCATTCTCCCCTGAGGGCGCTTGCGATAATATCTTTTCAGGAGACTGACTATCGATTGTTCCAGTGGAGTTTCCTCAGACAGCCATGCTTGTTCGGATTGCGAAACGAAACCAAAGACGTCATTCGCGGTTAGTGGCCGGCGGAAGACTTCCTGCAGATCATGCCAACAGCACAAAAGCTTTGACTGGCTCGGCTGATGCATGCAAGCACCTTTAAGCCTTTCGTTCCACATGTCCAAGCAAGCGTTAATATGATGTTTGAGAATCTCCCAGACCAGCATGTTAGTTTAAAGCAGGGTTATAGTAGTACTTGGGTTATGGTCGGCACTGTATTTTCTGACAGACCCGGATTTCGAAGCTTCAACTCAGGCAGAGGAGTTGGTGTTTCTGCTTAGCTGGAGTGGGCAGCGGTTTACCTCTACGGCCATGGACAGCAGCCCGGCATGGCAGATGTGACTTTCAGGACTTCCGCTTGCAAAGGGAAGGTATGGCGTGTTTTGTTCCTGCCAACTTTTGCGCAGCCTTCCTTTGAACAAGTGGTGGTTTTCCCTTGGATACCCCCCAGGAGCAGATTCACATCCGGCCAGAGTTTTCAAAGTGTTTGATCCCTGGGCTCCCTGCCAAAGCGCAGTCTCTCTTACATCTGAGCTGTCTGCATTCTTTGGCGGATCCTGAAAGGTACAGAAGCTTTTGATGAGGGAGCAACGCTCAAGTTTGAGCAGCCATATGCGACCAGTCAACTATTGAGCGCTGAGCGCACCCCCGCGGCCAAGGAGACTTTGGCTTCCGCCACGAGAAGTTGCGGAGAGCACAGGCAGGCCGAGCGCTAGATAGATGAAACGTGCCAATATGCACGAGCAGTGGGCGCTTGCAAGAGCGTTCCTGAGCCGACATGCGAGCGTTTGAGCCTTGCTGGGCAAAAGGCATCTCACAAAGCGCTGTGCCAGATCTGTGTCCGTATGGGAAGCCATGCTGCATGCGGAGCCCTGCAAAGGCGGAGGTGGTCATGATTACGCATGTTAAGCTTTGCGCTCTGAGTGCGGGGCTTCAGGGCTTCGTAGCCACGAAACACAAGTTTTCCAGAACCTCTCACATCCCTAACTTGAACAAGAACCTAGTGTCAAGCTTGGATGTTGTGCTGTTGTTGCGCGGTGGCTGGAGCAACCAAAGTGGTAAGGGGAACCTTGGGCCCTCCATTTGAGCCCCGCCTTTGAGGAGCGTCGGAGGAAGGAGCCGCTCGGAGCTGGAAACGAGGAAGGGATTGGGTGTCGATGGTGCCAAAGGGCCCCAAAATGTAACAACCCGGGTCCAGGAGCTTTTGCATTTATGGCGACGCCCCTGCTTGCCAGCCATGGTGCTTTAGGCGTGTAGTCCATTCGGAGTGTGGGACTTTTTGGCCCAACTCCACAAGATCCCGAAAGGTCCGTGGTTTGAAGATCCGGTTGCTCCAGTCTTCCTTGGGCTAAGGCGCTGCAAGAGGCAAGCCGAGCTTGGACGCCAAAAGCAGGTGGGCTCAGCCAGGGGCAAGCGAAGCGAAACCTGGCGAAGCAGAACCCAAACGTGCTTTGCCGTTGGCAAGTCTGCAAGCCCATTCAACGCCATATGAGAAAGGCCCATATCACATGATTAGCACATTGGATGAGTTTGGATATGTTGCTGTTGGGTGTCAAATGTTGAGATGTTGGCAGACCCACCAGCAAGGGCGCGCCAGCGGCTGGCAGGAAAGCGAGGCCATCAACAGTGGCCGCAGCAGCAAGCAGAGCCAGGCGTGGGCGTTAACTCTGCCAGCAGGGGCTGTTGTCCTGTCCCCATGGAAAGCGCTTGTTGAGTGGTGAGTAGGGTCTATGGTCAATTTGGACGGGGCATTGAACTATTAAGTTTGATGCAAAAACCAGAGGAGCCACAAATCATACATGTTCTTTGAACAATCGTTTTCATAGACTGTGGCTCGCACGTCTCATTGGGTTGTACGTGGGTCAGGGTCAAAGAACGCATCGCAGCGCATCTCAGCGGCCCGAGGATCGCAGACCCAGGCGCATCTATCGGCCAACATTCCAATGGGGCTGCCAGAAGCAGCCTACACTTCAGCCAGGGCTTTTTTGGGCTGAAAGCAATGCGCAGCCACACTTGCTTTGGCAAGGCCATTATTTTTGCCTAGAAAAGTTGCCTTCATAAAGGGTCGAACCCCTTCGGAAGGGGTTTGCACGGCGGAATGCATGTTGGTGTCTTGATTAAGTCAGCCATGTCTGCTGTGCTTTTTCGCTTTCCCCTGGTTGATGTCTCTTTCCTTTAATCGAGGAGCTCAGAACCGTGTGCAAGCACTGAGGCACGGAATCTTTTTGGACCAAGCTACTTGAAACATGCCGCATTTGTGGTGTCGAGTGAAAAGACATGCTCCACTTAGATTGATTTTCAGACTGGCCTGGAGCCGATTTTCATGGCTGCGAGTGCACTGGAACAGGCGCCACCGCCCTTCAGCTCAGAAGCGATCCGCCAGCTGGTGAATCTTGGCTGCTACATTCCCACGGGGCTATATCGCTGTGCCGTTGCCCTGGGCACATGGCTCGGCAAAGGAGGCCCGTTCCAGAGTCGGTGTAGTGATGTCAGAGTTTTGCAGCCCTTGCAACTTTTTAGCTTGCTGGCTCACGGCCACATACATACATAAGTTAAGGTTATTTTTGACACACAGTCGGCGCAAACATGCTCCTCGCACTGCCACAAGAGGTTGCGCTACGCAGTAGCCCGAGTCGGGCTGTTTTCGCAGATGGGGAGAAGTGATAGAACAGATGCGTATTATACATATGTATATATATATATATATATATTGCACATATATGATATATCTATATAATTATATATACACACATATATATATATATGTATAGATATCTATCAAGAACAATGGAGGGGAATTGGGAAAGAGAGAGAGAGGGAGAGACAGATAGAGCGAGAGAGAGAGAGAGAGAGGGAGATTGAGAGAGACAAGCCGTGAGAATCAGGGCCTCGGCAGCTTGAAGGGCTATATACATGATAGCTGAGCTTCTGTACGGGCAGTGGCTGTTTCTTTCTGTTTCGGCAGGCTACATGCAGTCAGCCAGCTGTGCTTGGATCGTGGGCTGCTCACCAGATGTTTGCTAGTGAAAGAGGTTTGGGACTGGTCATTCTCCCTGCCTGCTCAAAGAAGAGGCTTTAATGCTTGCATGGCCTATGGCCTATAGCGTGTCATCCTGTCAGCAAAGGCAGGTGAGGGACCTTCATGTACTTACCATGCCAATCTGGGTGCGTCACTGTTTGCCCTGTACGTTTTCGCTGCTGCCACTTTGTTCATGTCAGCCCGCTGCGCACAGTTTGCCGAAGACAAGGACATGGTTGGTGATGAGATATGTTTGCGAAGAGTTTACAATGCGGGTGAGGATGGAACAAAGAAAGCAACAGGACAAGGACGGTGCCAATGTTAGAATCAATACCTCTAACATTTACACATGTGATGCGCACCCTTGCCCACGATGTTGGGTCCAACTTCCAGTGAACATTGAGTCCTGGTCGAGTTCAAGTGTTGCGCTTGTTTCAGCCTACAGTCCACCTTGCGGGCAACTCTCAAAACCTGATCAAGCAGCCGAAGGTCATTGCTTGACAAATAGTTGCAGATTCAGGCAGCCAGAAGATGCCAGGAGCACAGCAAGCTTCTTTTTCTAGTAGGTTCTTCCGCGGCTTGCCATGGAGCCGATTTCTGCACAGCAGGTGCTGCAGGCGGCTTTTGGTGAGGAGGAGGAAGTGCAGGCACCACTGACAGCCTGGCTTGTGGGTGGGTTCTGTGGTCGAGCCCTTCTTCTTGAGCTTCGGTTGTTCCCCCCCTTGGTTTTGCATGTGTATGGCATACGGCTCCAGGTCCGTGCGTGCACGAGTGTGCGCGGGCGTTCGTCCGTCCGTGCGTACGTGCGTCGTGTTTGTGTGTGTGTGTGTGTGTGTGGGTGGGTGTGTGGGCGTGGGTGCACGTGTGTGTGTGCGTGGGTGCACGCGTGTGTGTGTGTGTGTGTCTCTGTGTGTGTGTGTCTCTGTGTGTGTGTATGCGCCAGTGTGCGTTTGTGCGTGTGTGTGTCTGTTTGTGTTCATGAGCGCGCTCTTTTTGATGGTGTGTGTGTGTGTGTTGGTTTTCTTGCTTGGTGGTGTGCTTGATAGTTGTTTGCAATTTATGTGCTGGCAAGCCAGCCAGCTTGCTTGCTTGATTGCTTTTTTTTTTTGGGGGTTTGCTTGTTTGCTCATGTGCTGGCTCGTTTGCTGATTGGTTTGTTTGTGTTTGTTTCGGTCGGTGTTGATGTTGGCCGGTCGCCCCTTCAACAATGGATCCCCCTGAAGGAGAGGATCGCCCCATGTAGTATTGCGTGGTCCCAATTTGAGCTTCCATTTGATTTAGTAATACTTCTGGCTTTCACTTTCAATTTAGTTGAGTATTGCTCGAGTGAATTCTCCATTTGATTTGAATTGTGTATTGATGGATTGCAGTTTCCCTTTGAAGTAGTTGGTATTGGTTGATTGGAGAGTTCATTTAATTTAATATTACATTTCCAGTGGATGTTATATTGCTGAATTTGAGTTTCCATTTGATATATTAGTATTGTGGGCTTGAGCATGTATGTTTGTTACGGGAGCTGCAGCCAATCACTTTTCGGTGGGCCCCACAAAGATGTGCTTTGCCCTCCTCTAGCACTCCTCCCTTTGTGGGAATGATTGGGGCTAGGCTTTTAAACGAAACTATATACAGACAATTCAAGCTGTAGCGTTGAGAAGTTTGGATAGGGCCTAGAAAAAGCTTCAACCAGATCTGAGATGATATCCAACTTGTTGGGTTTGTGCATTTGGGGACATGTATCGTTTTGTGTTGGCTCGCGTTTTTTTTTTGGGGGTGGGTGGGTGGGTGCAACAAATCAGTATTTCGGGGACGGGGAGGCCTAAATAATCGTTTGCTTCTCCTCTTCATGTGTCTCCCCTCCCGGGATTGATTAGGTTGAAGGAACATGAGTTCGGTGTGCGTGTTTGTTTTAATTTTTGTTGGTTTTCCGGAAATTGTCGGCTTGACTTTTCGTGGCAAAGGTTGTTTTTGGTTTGCGTCATTTCTTTGGGGTGGAGTTGTTTGGGTTGATGCTTAGGAGGGGGTTTCCTGAGAGGAGGTTGCCAAAAGGGTAGGTAGGTCTTTGTTACTGTGCGCGTGAGTGTGTGCCGGACTCCTTGTGTGAGTGTGTGCCAATGAGGTCTTTCACACCCAGTATGAAGGCTGGAGAGCTTTGAGAATTCTACAGCGGAACTAACATTGTTGCCACCATGTACTCTAGGATGGCAGCCCAAAGCGGGAAGCGATGTTTTCGGATGTTTTCGGAAATCGCCGAGTTGGGTGTGAATGTGTGCTGGTAGCTCCTCAGGGGCTGCATCGAGTGCACTTCTGTAGCTGGCATTGGGCCCCCGGCGATTCAAGCCGAGGTGTGGAATTTCGACCCTGCGCGCGGCGAGGCAGCCTTGTGTCGTGTTTGGCTCCGGCGCGGATCTTGCCGCTGTTCTCAAGGAGGGGTTCGTTAGTCAATGCTCTTTCCAATGGCACTGCAGCTGGGCAATCTGTTTGCTTGGCATCTTTAAGATTGCATCGGTTCAGGCGATTCGGCATCTTTCCCCTCAGTTTCTAAGCCATGTGTTTCACTCAGTTGCTTTTCTGCAGCTCGACCTTACGTAATAGTTTGTGGATGTTTGCAATGCAAGTTCAACCTGCCAAGGTGGCCAGGAGGCATTTTAGCCCTGCTTTGCATGCCGCAGCACCAATCACTCACCAGCTTGGATATTACGCTGCTTGCTGGTGCCGGTTGATCTGAACGTTATAGCCGACACCAGTTGTTTGAAAGGTTTACTATGCTGGGTGTGACGTGTTTTTCCCCAGATAGCTGAAAGCTATAGGGGTTCTAACTTCTAATAAAGAGGGCCTAGGGGGAAGCGATTTGCGAGATTGACGGGCTGGTGCTAAGGGGCGTGCAGTTTGGGGTGCTGGTTTTTGCGGATTGGGGTGCTGTTTGAGGTGCTGATGGCAGTGCGGGCGCATCTTTTCAAGATTGACGGTAGGGTGCTAGGGGGCATGCAGTTTGGGGGTGCTGGTGCAGGTGCCGTTTTGGGGGTGACGGTGCACGCGTGTTTTTGCATCTTGACGGTAGGGTGCACGGGGGCATGGGCTGGTGCTAGTGGTTTTTTGGGATGCTGTTTGGGTAGCTGTTTGAGGTGCTGGTGACGGTGCGGGCGCAATTTGCGATATTGACGCCCGGGTGCTATCGGGCATGCAGGTGGCGGTGCAGGCACTTTTTTGCATCTTGACGGTAGGGTGCAAGGGGGCATGCAGCTTGGGGTGCTGGTGCAAGCGGCGTTTTGGGATGCTGTTTGGGGTGCGGCTGGGTGTTTGGGGGGTGCTGTTTGGGTTGCTCTTAGGGTGACGGTGCAGGCGCATTTTTGCGAGATTGACGGCAGGGTGCAGGGGCATGCAGTTTGGGGTGCTGCTGCAGGTGCTGTTTTGGGATGCTGTTTGGGGTGCTGTTGGAGGTGCTAGTGATGGCGCGGGTGCTCGATTGACGGCCGGGTGCTGTTTGGGACGCTCTTCGGGGGGTGCTGTTGGAGGTGCTGGTGTGCAATCATTGCTATCTGGGATCTATGCTGGTGTTTGTTTTTTTGGTTTTGCGTGTGTACAACTTGGCCGGCGTGGTGAGTCTTTGGATGGCATGTTTCGGGCACAGTTCTGCCTTGTGTTAGCTGGCGCCTTTGAGAAGCTTCACCGGCGACGCACTTCACAGCAACAACTTTCGAGGCCTTCCTAAACTTTCCAAAGCGAACTTCTGTTGACCCGCGCGATCCTTTTGCTTCCGAGGCAAGTGGGGCGCGCTGTGCCGCCACGGCCATGATATAGACCTCTCTGCATATTCTTTGCGCGCGCGGCGCGGGGCGGCTATGCCTCACCTGGCGCCTGGGCATCACCTGTGGCAAGCTTGGCCGGAGCAAGCAGTGGGGTATTATCTTCAGCAAGCGGCTTCAACTTGCCAGTTAAACAATAAGCATGTGAAGCAAAAGGGACGTCCGGAGCTTGACTTGCCGCAACAGATGAAATGCAGGAGCCGGTCACTGGATGATGCCAGGGAAAGCGATACCAATGCCACATCGGCATGATCATGCTTTTGCACACACTTGAAATTGCCCGCGCCCTTCCTTTTGTTGATTTGCCGATTTGTTTTTCAGATAGACGGCTATACGCGCGCGTGCACGTGTGCACGCGCGCAGATCCATCCAAGTATTGAATCCTGAGGTGAGGGGCGATGCCAAGGCCTCCTTGGAATCGGATACCGTGGCCTTCGTTGTATGCGGCTTGGAGCGACCAACATTTGGCCCATGCGAAGTGGAGTAGGTCCCAAGGCTGTGAAAGCCGTCTCGTCTATGTCAATGTGTAATCCTTTCACCTGTTGTTTAGAAAGACCACTTTGTGTTGGACTCCTGTTGGCCATGTTCTTATTTACTAGGTAGAGGTTTTGATATCAACTGACCTGTTGGAAGGGCACCCAACCAATACCACGCCTTCCAGAAGCTCCAAGCACTAAGCCTCCAAACAAGGCCAACCACCTCCAAACAAGGCCAACCAGTACGTATGTCACATATGTTCGATTGTTTTGGGCCCTGGGGAAGCACCCAGTGCAGACAAACTAGAACCACTGGCGCAGTGCGAGGTGGCAACAGGGCGGTCTATGACTATGAAGACCCCTGGGTGGCACAGCGCTTCCTGGCTCCAGAGACAGCAGGCACGGATGTGCTACAATAGCGGGGATTCGCCAACCGATTGACAAGGTGCTCAGGAATGTCATGTGTAGAAAGGATTGTGAGGGGCCTTTACAAACAATGCTGCAAGATATGTGTGAGAACAACCAAGCCGAAGGGCGCAAAGAGCTGGACAGTTGCGCCATATGCACGCCCTTTCTGCCAGGCACGCACTTGTGGTCGTTGCTTCCCCTGGAGCTGGCGGTGCAAACGCTGTGGAGCGCCGGATCCTCTGGTGCGCAGGCACTCCTGACCTGCAAGGAGAGATTGCTTTGCCAGGCCACCAATACACATTGTGACCTTTTGTGCCATGTGTTGGCGCTGTTTGTTGTGCCCACGCGTGGCAAATCCACATTTTCCTAGTTGCAGGTTCGCCCTTTGGTGGGTTTGAAGCCTTGCCCAGCCCCGACCGCACAAGCCATGCAGACAGTGTTCAGCCACCAAAGCCGAATCAGTGGAAGGTGTAGCAATACCGCCAGAATGGCTGAGGTGGGTACCGGCAAGGTATAATGTTGCCTCATGTTACAAGTCGGCATTGGGACATGACGCGGCAGTTGTCCACACTTGTCGAGGTCGGCTGTTTGCATTGAAGCAAGCGGCAGCACTAGCAACGACCCATTTGCTTGGCCCGAGGCTCAAAGAGAGCCTAATCTCACCCTAGCTTCCTCGCCATTCTACTATCCGGCGATCCGGCATGGAAAGCCGAACTTCGTCCTTGACGCCGCCTAAATCCTCCGCACACTCCATGCTCTCCCAAGACAAAAGCTTGGAATTGGATGAGCCTCCTCTCAAGCCAGGCCGGGCCGGGAGGGGAGGCTCAAGATTGCAGGGCCTGACATGGTTGCGGTTCGACAGGAACGAAGTCTTCCTTTGTTAGGAGGGGAACTTGCGTGACATTGAAAGGCCTTGGGGCTTACTTTGTGCATCACATAGGCTAGAAGCAGTGCTTGGCTTCTGGCGCTCTTTGGTCATGTGGCCGGAGATCCGTGATGGAACCCAAAAGCTGTGTCAGCCAGCAGTTACCCTCGTCCCGCTCAAATCCACCCGAGGCGATTTGGAGGAGATCCTCCTGCAGCTGCGAGATGGTCAGGCGGACCCCAATGGAATGAACATTTTTCTTGGAACTCAGTGAACTTGATTTAGGCTTTTCTCGGTGACCAGGCTTCGCCCACTTGCGCGGGATTTTTTGCTGCTTCTGCCTTGGACACATCTGGGCTCACTTGGCATTGACTGATTCATCTCCCTCAGCTTTTACTTTCGTGATTGTACTATCATGTACCATCCACCAACTGTTGCTAATGCGGCTTTGCTTGCGTTTTTCATCACATTCCATTCCAACTACTTGACACCAATGGCTTCGGTTTGAGGCATCGTACTACAGCCACCCTTGAGAGCCTTCAGCAAGTGCTTTGGCGCAAACGGTGCTTTGCCAGGTGTCAATTCAAGACAGTCTTGCGCGGCTTCACGATGAGCTTAGGCAAGTGTTGCCTGGAATGCAAGACATTCGGGCGCTTCAATGGTACAGGGAAAAAAGCCAAGAATCTAGGAAGAAGGACTTGAGGGTGGCCGGGCCAATGCAAGCGACTCTTCTTGGTGCGCTCGCATTCTGCGATTTGACCAGGGGCTTGCCTGCAAGAAACATACAGTACTTCGGGCATGTTCCTTGTCCAAATGGCTACATGGGCAGACATGACCCCGGGATCTTTTTCCGTCGATGTTGGCGTTATTGCTTTCATGTGTTCGAGTTGAATGCCAGCTGCTGCTCGCCCTCTCAAGGGTCCACGGTGGCAAATTTCCGTTTACTGCTCACAAACTTCACCCCGCTTGTCTTCGAGTTGCATCTTGGGTTATTTCTCGGCCGAGCTGGCCGGGGAAAGCAGGAGTGCTACTCTATGAGTCAAAACCATTGGTCACTGCTTACAGGCTCCGGATTTGGTTTCGCTGCATAACCACAGTGCGCAATACATTGTTTGTAACCATTGCTGGATTGGTGGTACGTTGGCCAAATAAAGATGTGGGCAGCGCTAGTGAGAAGAACTCATGTTTATGAGTTTGCGTATTGCGTGGCACACATTGAGACACCATTCGAACTGGCTTGAGCTGGCCTGGGTACAATTCATGCCTTAATCGGGTGTCAGAGCTCCACCCCGTTTCCACAGCAAGGCGATAAGATGCGATAAGGCAATGCCGGAATAGACGGTGCGCATTGTCAGTCAGAGAAGTTGGTCGTGACGCATTGGACCACTTTGTCGCCACAAATCTTCTTTAGCATACAGGGCCAGGAATTGACATGAGCTCACCCATGACAAGGGGTCCTTGGTGGGTCTGCATCATTCATGTTTTGGGAAGAGTATAGCTGGCGCAGGTCACCGAAGTTTTCCATTCTCCAGCCAATGCGGTGGCAGTCCTGACGTATTGATTCTATCAATTGTCTCGGCCAACACAAAGCTGGTTTCAATAAACTGGCCACCCGCCCTGTTTCTTGTTTTGTTGCCTTGTTTCTCCAAGACTGTCCACTTACGAGTAATTCGCGTACCTGTGTGGCCACTTCTGCAGAAAATACAGCCCTTGCTTGCTAAACCATTGCTTTCACTGAATAGTTGCGATGTTAGGATTTTCGAGCTGGAGCGGACCAAGGGGATTCGAGCCTGGCACCCCTCGTTTTCAAAAGTGGGACTGCTGACTGCTAAAATAGTAGTACAAGGCCTCAGTTTTTGACAGTCGGCACCCCCAACCCCCGCAACGAGTTGCGCGGACGGTTGAGCAAAAAAGCGGTAAGGGCTCACAGTTTTTATTGTCGACCCGTCTAAAAAATAGCAACAGTTCGCAGTGTTTGATGATCGACCCGCCCGATCCACAAAATCGCGCGGGCATGTTGGAAAGTACGTGAGCTCTCAGTTTTGGAAGACAAGTCCGTACAAGCTCTCAGTTTTTGAAGGACACACTGAGTCTGCGAGAGGGTCGAAGTTTCGCAGAATGCGGTCGGTCCTGCCGCACCGCCTGGGCGCAGAGAATGCCTGTCAAGTTAATTTGCGCGTGCGAGTTTTTCTGGCGCAAGTCCCCCACGCAATCTCTCCGTGACATCTCTCCATAACATTTGTTTGAGCAATCTGTCCATGTCTTTCTAAGCAGTCTCAGGGGCAATCTCTCCGAGCAATCTCGCCTTGACAATTCTGTGCGCGTTTCCCTCGGGCGATCTCTTGCTGACATTTCTCCTTTGTGAAATCTCTCATGTATGCTTTCGGGAATTTGGGTTTGTTTGTTTTGTCACATGCGTGGCCGCTTCCGTTCTCAAGCCAGGTGTGGTAGCAATCGCCTCTCACTCGCTTGACTTGCGCTAAGTGGTTGAAAACGCAACCCTGTTTTTGCCCGGCCGCCATCAGCACACTTCCCTTCCTGTCCATTAAGCCCGGATAGATCCAGGGCCATGGAAAGAGACCTATCTCTAGTCAACTGTCCTTTTGCAGCGTTTGGGGGGAATGGCAAAAACCTTAATTCCGAGAAAACCCCCCGCCTCCATCCCCCTTTGAGTACCCCTTTGAGTACCAGGGCAGGAATTGTTGCTTCTTCTTTGGTGTGCGGCTGCTGAGGTTGAACCGGCGGCATAGCCGGTTGACACCAAGATCGAAGGCACACTCTTTAGAAATGTTTGAGGAAACCTACTACGCCATGTTGGACGGGCGCAAGAAGGGGATGACGCTTGGACGTGCGCCAGTCCGTTAAAGCTCAAAGTTCCGTCACGCTTGTTGGCAAATGGCTCGTTTTTCACATGCCTCCTTTACTGCTGAAAAGTGTAAAGAGCTGGTGCAATGTTAAACCTTGAATGCAGAAGCATTGCTGGGCGCCGGTTTACAACAGCACACGTGCGTACACGGCCCCCTCAAAAACTCAGTACACAGGTACCATGCAGGTAAAATGCACATTGGTCCTCTTGAACATGATGCTCGGAAAATGCAGTGCGCACTTGTGCATTTTACCTACATGGTACCTGTAGAGCTCTCCAGGGGGACATAAACGTACGTGTTTTCTTCCTGGCTTCTTGAAAGATGCGCACTGAAGGTCTCCATTGATCATATGTTAGTGTGATTAGCCATGATTCATTTCATCAACAGGGATGTCGCGGTAGTGACTGACCTGTGATGTTTGGCTCAAGTTTTGGGTTCCGTCGCGCCTCGAATGGGCGTCGCCGAACCCCTGCGTCGACCGACGGCATCTCGGGGGAGAAAGAGACCTCGGGCCGCCGCCAGGTTGGTAGGGACCAGTCGTGCGGCCTGTTGTCGACCAAGGTTGCGGGTTAACCCTTTTCTTGTTTGGTTTGTTTTCCTTTGGTTGTTGTTCTCTGGTGTGTGGGAAACCCTGATCTTTGGGACCGGGGATTGGTTTGCTTTTGGGGAACCTTTCTTTTGTGGCTTGTTTACCCCAACTTACCCATTGCCTGGGCACAGGCTCGTGCCCGAATCACAGGTTATCAGCCGTAGGACTTTCCTACGCGCTTGAGACCATCAACTACAAGCTCTATGTCGACCCCACGATCTCGAAGGAGTGTCGTGGATGAGGAGGCCATCCTAGGGGGCCTCCGCTCAGGTGAGGACTTACCGGACTACGACTACGAGGACTTCGAAGCAGGTTCGGCAGGTCAGGACCGCAGGGGTGAAGATCCCGGTAGGGACACACCCAGGAACCGTGGCAGGTACACCGACGATGGAGACGACCGTATTTTCCGTCAGGCCACCGATGATGAGCAGACACGAAGGGTTCGCTCCGATAGGAGCGGCTCTGAATCAGGTCACAGGCGCGGACAGTTCGACTTCATCAGCATGGCGATGAACATGGCCCGCCCTCATTCGGACGACCCGGAGGCCATGCCGACCCGACCCCCGAGATCTCTTGCTCCAGGTGAATCGCAGGTCTCGGATGAGTTTGAGGACAGGCCACAGGGACCAGGGACTATGGCTTTGGCTCCGAGAGGTATCTCGGGTCGATCCACCGGTTCTCAAAATCCAGGTCAGTTTGATGAGCACGAGGAGCGGAAATTCTCAGACTTCGGATACGATGCTCTGTTGAAATCAACCGCAGGTTGGGGCAGTAGCTCAAAGCAGGGATCTGATGCCGGTAGGCCCAACCCTAATACTGCCAAATCCGAGTCCCATGATGGCGAAGATTTCAATTTTGCGGATGAGGAGGAGGACCAATCACGCCGAAGTGCTAGGATCCGTGATGCTGCGAGGCCCAGGAGTCTCTCTCGCGGAGCCGCCAGGGAC